GTGCTGGTGTGTCTAACTTGCTGGTCAGTGGATAAAATGCTTTTAGGGCTCTATGAGCGAGCTCTCCCTGGCCAAGCTTAATGTCAGGTACAGATACATAATATGAATGCAACTGCTACGCACGATTTGAGTGGTGAATGAATCTGTGGTCCCGAAGAACTTGATGGTTCTAACATAATCACCCATAGCATGAAACTTATACGTACCCAAATTGAACTTCTTTGGCTTCGTCCCACTTGATTCTGGAAAATTAGTGCTGGTATCGGAGCGTTGAGCGGCCTTTCGTTGGCGGGATGCTTTCTCTTTCGGTAATTCGACAGTACTAAATGCAGCACACGTGTAGCTTTGAAACTTTTCTGAGCATCCGAGTCAGTTTCTTGAACGTTACTTCGAGAAGAGTAAGAGTGGACTCCGAATGAATCCTGAGCTTGGCGAGGGCATGCCACTCTGCAAATCGATACAGTAGAGACTGTACCACCGCATCGTGGTCAGAGGGGAACAGCCCCTCGAATACCGGAATGGCACACTGAGAATATTTCAGCAAGTCGAATGCGGAAAATGAATAACTCGTAAAAACCTGTAAAATATCTTCAAAATTGTGTGCCGCTAATCTCTTCATTTCAGAGGTATTGTTTGAAAACCTGCGGATTACGCCGTTACCGAAAGTCGGGACCTGTCGAAATCTACAGTAAGATTTTGAGTCGACGATTTGTTAGCAGGTAATAACAACACTCCGTAACAACTCCTCGTACCTGCTATCAAGGATTGCAACAAGCTGACTACCCTTGGTACTGAGAGCATAAAGTAGCCTAATGAGGTGCGTGAATAGCGCCTTCCAGGTGCCCAACTCGCACTCATGCATGAAGTCGACGACGAGCATGCGGAATGGGTCGAGGCCGAACGGTCCAAGTTTCTCGACAAATTGATTCTGCACATAGATAGCGTGTAGCTGATGATGAGAAAGCAAGGAAATAGTTGTACTTACAATAGTAGGTACCCAGGAGCCGTCTCCAAGAGTATGGTCTACTTTTGCACCGTCTACGGTATTTCCCAATTGATAAATAAACTCGCGAGCCTTGACGACCTTCGCCATGAAATATACTTGAAGATTGGTCATACGACTTTTCATGTCGGATGCGAGCCCAAGAAAATTAAACGAACCCTTCGGTGTAAGACAGCGAGGGCAGGGACACAAGCCCATGTCCTTGATAGTCGCAATCAAAACTCTGTACATTGATGGGTGATTAACATTCTTGAAAAGCCCGCGAGAAACATACTTTTCAGGATAATCCGCGGAATATGTGAAGATTCGAGGGAAGATTCTCCGCAGCACTCCATCAGCGCATTTCAAAACGATACCGTGGTGATATGCGTTAAGAAAGTCCTCATCCAACAAGATTTCCCAACACCCATGGAACAACTCCCTACGACAGTGTGCTTGAAGAGATGCCATGCCACTTTTCGATATGCGAGGTAGGCTACTTAGGATATCTTTGACGCTGTCGGGAAGCTAACATTATCAGTAGTAGATAATCATGCCACGTTCGTCGACTTACTGAAGGTAAAAATCCTACAATATGACATGCTCCCGATTGAGGTTGTGAACGTGCGTACTTTGTCAGATTTGCGAAATACATGTAGAGTGGCCAAGCCTTCGCAGTCCCAAAGTTTGCGAGGTGAGTGGCGTCAGAAAAAAACAACAAACCCGCAACAACACGCTCGAGTGAACAGCCAGGTTCCTTCGGCAGACGCTGAAGAGCGTCCTGAGCTTCTAGCCAAGCATCGGACGTGTAGAATTCATCATAAATCCGCTCTTGATGACCGTCCAGAGGATCTTTCCAGAGCCGTTGGAACGGTAAGAGATGGAATGCCCGGGCTTGGATATCTGCAAATGCGGTACGTATTACTTCAACGAGAGGGCGATAATGGAAGCCGGGAATGGTATAAGGCTGAGGGCCATCCTCCTTTGACTTCGTTGGAATATTAATAGTGACGTTAGTCTGAATCCAATCATCTGGAAATTGAATTCTTTTCCCATTCCCGTCTGTGTCCAGTTCTCTCAAGCTCCGCTTCACCGAGAAGTTCTCGAGGTGCTCGCGGTCAAAGTCCTTTGCCAGTATTACGTCTTTGACAAGGCGCGAGACTTTACTTTCGGACACAAGATTACTACCTGTGTTCATCCAAGACATAAGGCGATAGATCGTCATGTTGGGGAAGGGGTAAGGCGGCGCAAAGATATTCAATGGAGGATCAATTTCTTCGGCGACCGTTGGAGACGTTCTTGCGAGTAGCGAGGATGGAACAAATGTATCTGGCTCAAAGGAAGGCCGACGAGGGTATAATCTGCATAGTCCAAACGAGTTGAAAGTGGTCTGGAGGGTGTCTCTCAGCGTTAAGAGAACACGTAGGATTCTGGACCGAGCTGGAACTGAAGTCAAAATTTGAGTTGACTGGACATCAGGATTATCTGAATGATTAAGTTCATCTCGCGAAGGTTCGAAATCATCCAAAGGTCTCGGAATTCGTCTCATTGGAAATGCGATTTCATCTGGAAGATTGGGTAATTGTAAACACATCAGATGATAGTTGCTGCCTAGAGGGAGACACAAACCTGAATTGTAATCCATCTCGTCTCCAGCATTGTTCCCCATCTCAACATCGATATGATCATTTTGTTCCTTCTCTGAGTCGAGAGGGTGTTGCGAGTCTGCGAGACTGGAGACACTTGGCCCGTAAGCCATAGACAACGGCATGAAGAGCCTACAAGGGGCAATTGGTTTCAGACTCGGACGGTCCCTCACATGTCGGACGGCTGATATTCTCTGAGATCGGCGGTGACTGGATGCTCGACTTCCAAGTATGAGAAGTTCACTCACTGACTCTGATGCAGGGGTGCTCGCCGAAGTGTGCTGAACCAAATTTGAAACAATCGCCTCTTTGGCACGATTATGTCTCTTCTGGCTCGCAAGGGTACTGACTCTCCTATAAAATTGACAGCTTGCGCGATGTCGATTGAGTCCTCTATTGTCTGTTTTCCTCTCCCAAAAGCAACCCGCAGCATTACAAGCTACCATCAGAAGAGAGAAGAGGAAAAGGCCAATCCAAAGTCTTCCCGGGAGGCGCATCACAATTAAGCCAGTTAGCAAGCGGATACCCTGACTGACATGGAGTTGATCGTTTGAAACAAGTTTGAAATTTAAACCACCGATGATACATAAAAGTTATAACGTGCGAACAACTAATTAGTAATTGCGCCAGACTATATTGCCAGTCTAATATACGTACTGGATGTCACTCGATACAACTAAAAATATAACGAACGCTGAACTTCAACTCATCCTTGATCTCCAGAATCACCCAGACTGATACAACATATCTGCCCTGTGTCAGTGAATACATCATGGCAGGTCGCTCGGACTTCCTCTTTGATGTTCCCGGCGACACCATCTGCGTTCGATCTCGCGAATCAAAGCAATCAGTGGTGTGTAAACCAATGGATGTTCCCAAAAGAACGTGTACCAAGTGCCGGAATACCCACGGGCAGGCATGACCATAATGATATTGTACGTTTTACAAAACCGCCCTCTAGGTGAGGCGAAGATATCTTGATGACCCAGTACATCACTGAGAGTTGCAAAATGTCGGCCACTGTCCTGATCTTTGCCAACCTCGTCAAGTACTTCCAGCGCGAACATCCCCTTTATGTTCTTCGTACTCGTGGCTTCGAGCCAGGTCAGCCTTTCTTTACGTCCATGGACGAAATAGTGTACACCTACGCTGCAGCAATACAGATGACTCGACCCACCGGTCCTTATGCCATTTCTGGTCAGAGTGACGAGTCAAACTCGTCGGTTTGATCAACATCCCCTCATATCGCCAACCGCATGCACCACGAGATTGACTGGACTTGGTGGCATGCTCAACCTTTCGTACTTCCTTGGTCTTGTGACGAAACAAGATGCCAATGAGACTGAAACTCGGAGGACAACTCAGAGACTCCGGTCCGCGTGATATCAATTGGAATCTGGATAGAATTTTGATCACTTAGAACAATAAAAGGGTCGCAGCTGTACTGACTAGCGTTGACGGCGACAACAGGACCTTCTTGAGAGGTGTTCTGTAGGCCAGAGAACAGGGGAGGCAGGAGAAACCGAGCCGGGTCGGGGAGCATGCAGATACGGGAGACGATATCGTTCCATTGCATGGTCAGTTATTGGATTTGTGAGGAATGGTCTTCAATAGACTCACCATGTGGCGTCCCGGGGTGCGACTGACACCATGCGCAGAGTTCTCCTGTTACTGAGTAGTGAGTGGTGACAAAGGTGGTGATGCCATATGGGCGCGCAGACGTTATTGTAACCACAATGACAAGGGGGTGTTGGCGTCTGGGGACAAAAAATGATCCAGCCGGAAGCATGACTGAGGCGACATTGACGAGGCAGAGGACTAGTAGGGAGCGGGGAAAGGTTACTAAAGAATGTAACGAGAGGTGAGTGGAAGTGATATAGAGAGTTTGTGCGATGGAAGTAGTGAGAAGACAGAGGTCATCAATTGACACGGGAGATGAGAGTTGGCAGCAGACGCTCCAACAGCGCAGTCCCAATAAAGGCGGGAGCGAGGAGATCCTCGGCTCGAGACCAGAAGGTCTTTGCCGCCTAATCATGATGTGGGAGGAGTAGCAGATGCTCCAACAGGGCCAGATGGCCTAAATCCCAATAAAGGCGGGAGCGAGGAGATCCTCGGCTCGAGACCAGAAGATCTTTGCCACCTAATCATGATGCGGCAGAGCTAGTAGTTGGAAACACAACATTTGGTTGTGTTTGTCGTGACAGGTATAGGCTTAGTAAATATTAGTAATACTGTCCTGTACATAATCAGTTTTGAACCCAGCAGCGTGGATAACCTGTATATAGTATTACTTAGCTTATTCCCGGGTCAGTGACGAAGGATGGCAGTCTGAAATTCTGTGACACTCAAAGCTAAGTATCAAACCAATGAGATTACACCGAAGTAGTATCATAGTAACCAACTCGTAAGTAACGGTGCTCCTGATCATCTGTTGGCGCACCAACGTAACCTAAGCCTGGGTGTCCCCTAGCCAGATCGACTGATTCGATGCTGTCACGTCAACCTTTCCTCGACATCTGTTGTTCTTCACCATACTTGACTATATCGAGCACTGTCTGCCAGTCTGTCCCTGTTCTCTCCCGGCAGATGCGCTTCACGACAGTTGGAACAGGATTGGGAAAAAGTACGTTCTCGTCAGTGTCTGAACCATGATTGCCATTAACATCGTTGATCTTCCTCTTTCGAATCTGGCGAGTACTCATGCCCGTAGTTTGAGAAGCTTGGGCCTCTATGGCATCACCGCCTACACAACCAGCTCCCGCTGTCTGACCTCTCGTCAGTATGAAAAAATCAACCACGGTTGCAGGCACTCACTATGTTTTCGTCTTCTTTCTGTTCGTCAGGTTGCACGATATCAGAGTCTTTCTTCATTATCGTTTTATGAACATCTTTCCAGACCTTCCAGTGAGTCTTGTGATTCTCCCCTGCATCATATCATTTGTACTCACTGACGACTTTCGCTAACTCAATTCGGAACTGTTGAAATGGAGCACCTCCACGTCGTGCGCGAGACGTATGAAACCTCTTCTCCTCGTTTTTGGGAACAACCTGAACGATTGTCACAGGCGGTGATTCAGATTCATGCAACACGTCAGTAGCATCAAGCGGCCGCATAGGGATCTGAGCATCAGGACTGCCAGTGGAAGACGATGGAGGAGTTAGAAATTCTTGCAAGGGGGAAGGGGCATGGACGATGACCTGTGTATTTGTAGGTGAGTGGATTGCGAAAGGATCTGTGAAAGATGATAAATCTGGTTCCCAGAACACCGATACATCGTCACCGCTGCCTGATGTAGAAAATTCGGACACGCGATGAATTTGGACATGCGCCAACATGTCCTTGATCCAAGTACAGTTATGATGGGCACAATAAGGCATAGCCTGAGGTGTCATGACTCCCGGTGCTGATTCTAAAATTCAAAGGTTCAGGGTTCTTATAGTTGCGTTGCCAGTGACGTACTTTCGGGTAGAGTAGAGTATGCACGTCATACCGTAACCATACTAATATATAGAGAAGTGTGATCCGAACTCGGAGGCAGGACACCTGGCGAAGTTGGCGAGGAGAAGAAGGGCACAGACATGTTCCATGGTGATCATATGTTGAAAATTGTTCGTTCGCTAGAAAACTTAACTTATTTCTCCTGAAATTCTCAATTGTAAGGAAGTCAACGAACAAGACAGTATTACTACTACTACCACTACTACTAGCCGTACATAAATATTCATCTTGAACCTGAGGTAAGGAGGTGGTACTTCGAATCCCCGCAAATACCAAGAATGGTAACTTACTCATTGCGTAACGACACAACGTGGCCCACATACAACTACCAGTTTTGGTATGCACAAGTTTCATAATTTTAATTTGCTGATGTGATTCATGAACTTGCCAAGTTCACGAGTCAACGAAAATCCTACTCCCTGAAAGGCTCCTCCCACTATTATACACTCCAAAGGTTGGTACTACTAGTAATACTATAGTTACTGGACACAGGGCCGCGACAGGGGGAGTATCATAGCCCAGTCACGACGCTCAGTACTTGAAGTACACCCATGATCATAAGCAAGCGTACCGGGACGGACTGACCTGCGGCATGCAGGCAAATCACTTCTCTCACGCGTTGAAGACGTTATATAAGATTACTAGTACCACGACTCGGACGCAGCCGTAATATCTGGAGAGTCAACTTGCTGGCCAGCCTCTCACAAGACTGTCACAGACTCACAGTATGGTGCGTCCGCGCATTGAACTAACCCTACACGCTCACACACTATGGAAATTCTCAGAAAACTTTCTCACTTTCACTGAACAATGACAGGCTGACAGCACTGATAATTTGTTGATAACAGTAATAGATCATACCCCATTCCTTTGAATCTCCGCATATGCCAAAATTGGTAAGTAACCTCTGTGCACAATGTATACTAAGCACAAAAGGCATTTGCCGCCATTCTGTCTTGGTCAAACTCCACGCCCACCATTCACAGGAAAAGGTCTTGAAATCTGAGATTTGACAACTCCAGCGATGTGAGGTCTTTCAAAGTCCGATGAGTATTTACCGCTTATGCACTCACAGCTGCCCTCCCTTCAACCAGCACCTCAAGTTGAGCCATGAGCTTATTCACTGTTACAAGTCCATGCGAAGTTCCATGTCCCATACCTCAGGACTGCATTTCATGTTGCAAATCAAACACCTTCAGCTCTCCTCCATGCTCTCCTCCATGCTCTCCCCAATGCTCTCCTCCAAGCTTATCACCTACTAGAGCATCAGGTACTGATAACTCATATTATGATATAATGATGTACACTAACTTATACACTAGTGACAACAGAGAGCACGGCAGAGACGGATGACGACTCTGTTTTCCCTTTGACACCTGATTCTAAACGCACAGGCAGCATTCAGCGTATCGTTGATACCTCTGCTAGGGCTGCGTCGCCGACTTCAAGTCGTCAGTCTCAAAAGCAGCATTACAACAACAGTCCCACCTATTCTTTTCATCCATATCACCGGCCATCCTCATTTCAAGAACGGCACATTTTTGATACTATGTTGGGTAGAACAGACCATGATGATTTACCGGAAACCATAGGGAGCAAGGTAGGCTCTCCCTTTTCGAGAATACACGTATATAGCTCATTATATGCACCGTGTTTCTAGACCGAAGATATTGGAGATATATTCTTGCAGCATTTAGAGACTCTTGGCCCTCACATTTTCCGCCTTGTCGTGCACTACAAGGAGGCTGTTCGCGAACGCCAACGCATGCGCCTCTATACCACATACTGGGAAGCCGAGGAAAATACCAGACGTGGCACCCTCCTTCATCTTCTCTACCAGGACGCGCAAAATGAGTTTGTTCGATCGGAACAACAATCGCAAACATTACTGAACATGGCTCTTGAGAAGCATTCACCGGCTGCTATTGCCTCAGATACCAAATTCCTCGCTGCAGTCTGCGACCGCAACAAGGCATCTCTCCATCGGACTGACACTCAACTTGATGTTATAAAGGATCATATCAATAGGTTCCAGTTGTTCAGGTCGTCTGTTGATGGTGACTCAGTCCAGAAGTCGGATGCTGCCGGAGACTGTGTGGCTAGTGAGCATGGCTTCTATTAGTAATAACCCTTATTGACGAATCCCGTTAGGACACGTAATTCACGCATAGAAATCATGTATATTGTCAGAACCAGTCAGTCTGGGGTCTTACCTTTCGTATTTCACGTCTGCTGTTGTTCCATCATTGTAGTAGGTGAACGTCGATTTGACCAGAGTCACTAGACTTGAGTGCTAGCTACAGCTGGTGGCAATCTTATTTATAATGGCTGCTCAATTCTAAATGTTCGTTCAGTTCGGATCCATGAGACTTGTACCTGAACGTTAAACCTTACGGCGTGCAGCGTCAACATAGTAAATTATTTACAAGCAATCTTAAAGCAGCATTATCCCAGACCTCACCGATTGAACCTTGTTATACACTGCCAATTTTGGAATTGAGCTAGCGCCCAGTAGTAATATTGTGCACGTGGTGTGTTCTGTAACTCATAACGGTTGACCAGTATTACATGTTTTGGCCTTTTTTGGCAATGTAGATTGGTCAATATCGGATTCTTCAATTCAATCCGCTTCATAAATCGCTACTCGTTGCAGTTTGCCCATATCATAACGTGAGTGCCATTCCTATCGCGGAAATCTGGACATTGAGTCGGGGTCTGACTCACCCAGCCCAGTATGCAGATTTTCTGACTTGGCGGTTTACTAACAACTTGCTGCGATGCAGCCCTCTCAGGCTGGTCAATTGCCACCTCCGACGAATGACGATATCTACCATGATCATTTCCTCGACAACACCCACGACTTCCATGCCGCCCTCAATGATCGGTATATTGCGGGCGCATCTCTGCAACCTGGTGATGGCCACAATGGACTCGGATATCGTACTGATGGTCTCGTGATGCAGCAGCGACCACCCTCTGAGCTTGGCTTTGGCCGAGGTCAGCCCACGCTGCCCAACAACGAGTCGGACTCTGAGTTTTTCTCAGGGCTTGAGAACGACTCTCACAATTTGCTCTTCGGTAGTACCATGTACCCACCCCACTATCGTAGTCATGTCATGGCGCCCGCCTCTGATGGTGCTGTGCACCATCAACTCCAGCCAGACTCGGAGGCTGGGCCCATATACTTTGAGTCAACGGCCGTGGCTGCACCCTCAAATCATCCTTACTCGGCTTCGGGGCCACCCTCTCTTCATCACCTTCCTAACCATCTCGGTTCCTTCTTTCAAGGATACTCTCAACCATCGCTGACGAAGAACGAGGACGCCCTTTTACCACCAGGAAACCAGGAATACCCTCCTCGGGAGGTGATATTCAGCGCGCAGGATACCGTGACTGCTAGCAGCAATCAGCGAGGCGCCAAAAAACGTTCTACTACAATGTTTCGCCCGTACCAGTATCCGCCGCCAAAAAAGTCTAGAACGGTAGGTGACTGACATTAAGACAATTGTAAATTGCTGATGGATTCGCTACAGAGAGGAGTGAGCGGTTCAGGTTCGCAGTCCCAGGTGTCGGAGTTGCTGCCATCAATGGCAGCTCCCCCTCAACCTACCACTACATCCGTGACCCAACCTAGTATGTCGGAGCTTCCATACGACAAAACCAATACTCGACACATGCGAATCGTTGCGTCCGCTAGGACAAAAATTTTGGACTATGCGGTGAACGAGCTCTCTTTACCGACGGGGACGGATAGGGAGCAGGTAGTTAAACTGCAGTTGGAAATTTCTGCAACAGCAGAATATAATCAAGGTAAGTCAATACATACCCCTTTCTGGCAACGACTGAAATTTTCGGTTGTGCAACAGAGGCGTTCGGGAAAAAATGGGCTGCTTCGAATTGGAAGACGTTATACCTGTCGCTGTCGGAGCCCTGCAGGTTTATCATGCTTACGTGCAAGAAGCATGCACGCACAGGTGTACAGCGCGGGTTCAATCTGCGTCCTCCACCACAGTCGACAACCTCCGAACCGGATCACCAGGCAGCAGAGGTTGAGGACCTGCTCGATAGTGCGACATTCCCACCCAAGTATGTTTTCGGCAAGGACGAGACTGGAGCCTTACACTTCCTTGAAAACCATGTGGTGTGGGACGTTCTTCTGAATACCGTGAGAGAGCTCAAGCTCTACGAGTACGTCACAAGCCTCAAGAGCCTTTTTTGCACGTCTGCCGCTGCTGTCAAGTGTGCTTTACGGGAACTTAGGACCGGGAAATTGGTTGAGATTCCATTTTCTGGTATAGAATTTAAATCACTACATGACTCGCTCGAAGATTACATTGACAAAGTCATCGCTCTCGACCCAGTTTTGTTAAAGCGATGGGAGGCCTACAATACGCTTACTTTTCTTAGGCTGCGCCAATTATGCTGTTGATTTCATAGCTCAACTTAGATAGGAACCAGTAGACTACATCATTTGCGCAATATTCAGGAGCTTTGGTAAACGCTGGTCAAGCTTCAAGGTTGTCACGCAAGTCATTTAGTAAGCGCCACAACTTGACGTGACGCGATCACAATAACGCTTTCAAGTTCAGTCACCTCCCAGTCATTTGGGACTCATGTAGACGACACTCACTCCAGCCGACCTCCATCAGTCATGACGTATGTGACACCGACACTCGCATCCCTTCAACGACAAGGTTCCAGTTCTCGATTATCTGGTGCCAGCTCACCTGCCAGTTCACAGGCTAGTCATCATGGACTCGTTACGAGATCCAGAAGAAATGGAAGAAGAACGAAAGTAACGCATAAACGTGAGCGATCAAGACTTAGGCAATCATTTTCAAAATGGCTAACCGCAACATTTCTTATTGTTGTTCCATTAGTATTAGCACCGCGATACCTGGGCCAAGTACCAGTCGCCCGTCAACCACTCTGTCGCGGCCCCGTTCCTCCATTTCATTGCGCGGAAGTTTGCGACATCAGGATCAGTCTCGGCATGCCAGTCTCAAATTGCCAGGTAGGTGGTGTCTTTTCGCTTTTACGTCACCCACCTACAGTATGTGCAGGGCCAAGGGCGAGCTCATCACTTTCTGATGCTGATTGTGAGATTACCACTTGCTATTATTTTTTTGAGGCGAGCTTATCATGGTATTCTAGTTAAAGAACAATACCATTCTCGTGAAGAAGATCGGATGCACCAACGCGAACGCGAGTGGAACCGTCCAAAAGCACCATCACGTTCTGTCATCCCTGAGTTGCATCACCGACACTCATTGGAGTTCCACCGACGCCACTCTCAAGAAATTCCTTGGACGTCACCTTCTCACGTTAAATCCCTTTCGAACGGAGCGACTTCACCTCTCAGCGGCAGGGTTCTGCATAGAAGGGGTAGCGTTGCGTCGCTTCGGAGTTTTGATGATGATTGGAGCTCAAGGTCAGGTTCCATGAGCTCACAGGCAGATCGTAAGTGATTATTTCTTTTTAATTCACACCACTTCAATGACCTTCAGATCGTGATTGGATGGCTGAGCTTGACGGGGACCGCTACCTCGAGCGTGAACGAGAATGGAATAAACGACACCCACCACCTCGACCATCTTCAAGTCTTAGCTCACATTCGAATCATTCCCACACTTACCCCAGCCGACCTCCATCAGTCACAGCGTATGCGACACCGACGCTCGCATCCCTTCAACGGCGAGGTTCCAGTTCTCGATTATCTGGTGCCAGCTCTCCTGCCAGTTCACAGGCTAGTCATGACTCGTTACGAGACCCAGAAGAAGTGGAAGAAGAACGAAAGGTAACGCACGAACGTGAGCGAAATTGGAACTCACCACAGCCCAAATGGAACACAACGAGACATCATAGTTATGACGGCAGTGGAAATGAAGTTACATCTGCGAGTGACCATCTTTCCCAAAGCAAGAGTGGGAGGAGTTTGCGTGCATCGTCTAGTTTACCTCGCCTCACCCCAGAGGCTCAAAGCAAGGGCTCACTGACGGCTGTGAAGGTGCATTCTCACAAAGGCAAAATAGATTCGATGCTCGATGAATCATCGTCCGTTCATCCGCCGCAGGGTGCAGATTCGTTGTCTCCTTCCAATAATGGCAAAGCTTCACCCCGTACTACACCACTTAAGCCTGCGGCCGCTTCAAGATTTGGCTGGGGTTTTTCGCGGGGTCATCAGCTTCCTCCTTTAGATCTGGAGAGTTCGCCTAAACGAGGCGGACACAGCAACAAGGAGCCTGATTCCTCACCTCACCACACGCCAACCATCTCTTCGCCATCGCTGACTCCAGGCTCGCTCGCATCCAACCGAGCGTCGGGCGTCAATCGGTCGAGCTTGATTCCAGTACCCTCGCCATCTAAGAAGAATGGTCTTTTCAACAGTGGCAGTTTTGCCTCTTCCACTCCTAAAGCCAACGATGAGGAGAAGTTCAAGAAGGGTCATCGCAAGCGGCTGACAAAGTTTACTGAATCAGTGGGGAGTATTCACCCTCGTACTAGCATCCACGGTGCATTTGGGGATGAGGATATGGTTTTAGGTAAGACCCGTATTTCCCTTAGCTTGACAATATACCTTCTTATCTTAGAATATACAGCGAGCGACAAGGAATCCGTGTCGGAGTTTGCTCTGCAATTGACTGCTCCAGACACACGACCTTCGAATTCTTTCCCAGAAGATCCTCTCAGCGAGCCAGAGACAGAGGTTCTGGTGTCTCCACCATCCTCGCCACCAAGGCTATGCTCAGTCGTTCAAACACCTGGTGTTTCTTCCAATGATGAAGCACGTCTTCACAGAGCTCTTTTTTCAACTTCAGCGACCTCGTTCCGACCTCCTACTCCAGACTCTCCACTAGATAACTCTCAGTCCCAAGAGCAGGTGATGCCATCATCCTTCACTCCCCCAGGACACCGCCAATGACCAGTTCCGCTCCTCGGGACGAATCTTCTTCTGAAGCCATTCCCACCTTCACGCTCACAACTCCACCGCGCCGTCTTGCGTCAAGCACTTCCATTCTTGACTTCCGCACTCCATCTCCGCCTCATGACCTTTCTAATCTTTCTGTTCTCCCTTCATCTTCTGAAGATGAAGTAGAGACACGCGAGGCGGATGTTACACCTGTCCGAATGGATGAGGATGGCCCTGCCAATCCGAACTATACCGCAATGAAGACCCCGAAGCCTCCTGGAGCGTGGGCTGCTACACCCGTACCGCCCAAGCACCTGAGGGAAACATCACCACCTCCTACTTCATCCGAGTTGGCTCCGACTGTGTCATTGTCATCGACACCTCTATCTCGAGCTATTTCTGAACCTGAACGGAGCTCGGAGACAAATGTCCCAGCAGGCAATGGACTGCTCACGCTAATACCTTCTCTGTCGCGCGCTAAGTCTCTTCCTCTACGCACCCTGGCACCCCCTGGGGCATGGATGCTCACTCCAAATCAACCCGTGACTCAGAATGGACAGAATGGTTTTGCCGATCAATCCCAGTTTGGTTCTATCGGAAGGAGGAAGAGCATTCTCAAAGTACGCTTTGACGTCACGGAATCAGAGGCTTCAACTGCTGAAGTTGAAAAATCACCTTTACCTTCTGGACGCGTATCTGCGCCAGACTTTCTGCCTGATAGCCACGCACGACAAGATGGGGGGTTACCTCAGTAAGACGTGCAGGAAAGCCGAGGCGCTCGTGCAGGTGGGCCAATTAGAGGGTGTGGAACCTGAGAGGGTAGATCACCTGCTGCGACCGCCGTGACTGCAATTGCGATGTATATACAATGCTTCGCCCAAGGTTGAATCCATCATTGTTTTACCAGGCAATGTGCTAATTACGCACCTAGTAGCTACCAAAATGAATGACAATGTATGTTCGTCGAGTAATGTTCCGCGTTGAGGACACTTGCCAATGCCTGGCTAGTGCCCAGAACTTGCTGAAACTCCTCATTTCGTCGAAGGATGCGGAACGTTGGAAGCTCATAAACATCGTTCGCTTCGCCCAGTTCGAATCCGGTCTATGGGTTACTCGTGGATTCCGCTTATCCAATTTGAAATCTACGCTTACATCAAGGTGGTCGCTGTCAAGCGCTTCTTCGCGTCACCCACTACGTTAATGTCAAGGTTTTCTATATCCTGTTCAGGCAACTGCACTTTGCCGAGTACTAGATCCGCAATTTGCTCAACACATCGTGGACTCGGAGCGGGAGCTAGTCCTATCTTCCGCCCGCGCGACTGCAACTTCACTCTGAGAATCCGACAGCTGCACGTCCAATCTCGTATAACTACACTTGAAGGAATTAAGTCGAGGCCGCCCTGTTTTCTATGTTCACTGTCATACTGGTAGTAAGATCAACGACTCGGAGCTATGTGTTCAACCTTAATTATGCTAACGTTAATGCCCTTTCCAAAATAGGCATTCATTCATATCTTTCCCAGTATGCTTTTTAGGCGACCTGCGCTGTCTGGACCAGCATATAAAGTGCAGCTGGTCAGTCCTCGTCTCACACTTTCTCTTCATCAATCTACTTCATTCTTTCTCTCTATTAACCTATTTTCTCTCTTATCAGTATCACTATGGCGCATGTCGAGGACAGCACGTCGTGCACCGAGACTCGGTGGGATACAGACGGCGCGTCGCACACCGAGGCTCCACAAGACGATGATGACATGTCGCAGATCGAGGGCCGGAATGAGGGCAGCACTCAACTGGAACATGATGCAGCGGCAGCTCGACAGAGACGGAGAATCGCTCAATTAGAGGAAAAGTTGGAGGCTCTCGAGTCAGGGCGCGCAGCCAAAAATAAGTAAGACACCTATTACCAGTATTGAATTGTTTGTCTCACCGTATCTGTCAGGCAAACAAACTACTTTGTGGCTCGAGGAAGAGCGATCAGACGCGTTGTCACACTGTTCGATAATATCGAAGACCTCGTCAATGAAAACGACAGAAGATGCGAGACTGATGACCAGGACCATACTCTTGAGTAAGTGTTTCACCATTGATTCACGCTTGCTACTCATTGGCGTGGATACATAGTCAAGATTGACTGCAGATAGGGTACGGCACCCTAATGAGAACCTTACCGTGGTTTCATAAGAAAGGCTCGGAAACGCAGTACGACGAGTACTTACATATGTTGAAGATGGTATGTTTTATCAATATCAACTGTTGTGACATGCTGAGTCTTTGTTAGCTTCGGCAAGGGGCCGATAGCACCCGAGGAGACGATACCTCAAAGCTTAAGAATCTCGTTGCGGAATGGGTTAATCGTGATTTCAAGCCGACCCACCCTGTTGACCCCGACGATAAACATTCTCGTGGATTTACCCATGATGTATGTGGCAAGTTGCTCTGCCCGGCTGAGCTTGATTGGAACAACCTAGAGTGAGCAGTTCACTCTCAATCCCGGAATGATCACTCACTGTTCACCAGTGTAAGGACAGGGATCCGAGATCGTTCAGAGGGCCACATTGTGACAGATCTCTCTTTTCCGGCATTCCTATACGACAAATACACCACGGATCCAAACGATCTAGAGGAAGGCCTTTTCAAAGGCAAAATTCTCATTCAGGTTCGTCGCAGTGTGAAACAGCCTGACAACAACCTGACAGATGTTTTCAGGGCTACAAAGCTGTTTTCACGTCGCCCTCTTCAGCAAAGGACGTTGCAGGCGATGGCGACGGCGCAGATGTCATCAGGGACAACACACGCACCAAGAAGTCTTGCGCTGGAATGAAGGTCAAGAAACATGTCGCACAAATCATCCAGATGGAAAAAGTTACTCCCCGCTCGATCGCATACATCGCATGTCAAGTGAGTTACAGTCTTTGTTCAGATTCATGATAAATAATGACCACACTCTGGCAGGTGCGATTCGCACTTTCTTCTGTAACCTCATGGCGGTCCATTGATGGTGACTTTGACTATGTGCAATTCTGGCAGACCATCGTAGATTTCTTTGAAAAAGCCCCTGGTCGAGAAGCGCAGCGTAGGGTGAACAAACTCCTTGAGTGGTGGACTCAGTGTGCTATTTACTCTTCAACAAGCCTCGCTTGAACTCTCTTTAGGAAAATTTTCGGAAGGAATCATCGTGATGGCCTCAGTGACACAGCGAAAGCTAATATGTCCGTCAACACGCTCGCAAGACAGAGGGCACAACGTGATGATGCCGCTTTTGATTCGCCCTAGCTCCTTTACAATTGTGTTACCTTACTACCTAGTTTGCACTCAACTTGAATCTAATGCTTTGATTATCCTCACTTAATCCTTTACTTGCTGTAAAATGAGTTGGAATGATTTGGCACAAAATATAGGATGCTTCATAATATCTGCTTGGTCCGAGTGACTAACACTGAATGGTCTATTTGGAAGCATCTAAAGTCCAGTTCATTCGTGGACCCGCCTACTTGTGCCCAATAAGCTAAATTAAGGACAGACAGCATGATCATGGCGATCTCTGTGATTTCTGGTTGTCAACCTAACCATGGGTAAGAAGTATAAACCTGTGAGATGAGTGCAAATGGGAAGATGTATCGACTTCCCAAGTCAAGCAGATGATATTTCAGATAGTCAAGTAGAAATTTCTGACTCTGCCAATCGATAACACCGTCGCGACATCGGGAAGCTGTATACCTGTGGTTACAAATCGGCACATGATGAATTCTTCTTGTAGCGCAAAATGACGCACGGTGCGATGGTGCTGTGGTGCAATGTATAAGATAACAGACATTTCCCAAGGTAAAACTTATTTGCCAGGGTTCTCAACTAGCGGAAATTGTTGACTGGTAGTACATTTCTAAAGCAGATAGCGTCGAAGTCTCGAGACACTACACATATGTACTTTCGCTCGCACAGCGAACACATCGTTGTATTTTGCAAGCAAAATACAGCTGCCAGTCATCAGAGAAACACAGCATATGTTCTTTCTTGCGCAGTGGGTCAACACACTGTCGTTGCTCTGGAGTATGTTGGCCCCTTAACCTTGTCTCGTCATCGTGGACCATACTTCGTGACCATTTTCATCCAAGTCATATCACACTTCACAAGCAGTACTTATGTTCATTCTTGCGCAGTGGGTCAACACACTGTCGTTGCTCTGGAGTATGTTGGCCCCTTAACCTTGTCTCGTCATCGTGGACCATACTTCGTGACCATTTTCATCCAAGTCATATCACACTTCACAAGCAGTACTTATGTTCATTCTTGCGCAGTGGGTCAACACACTGTCATTGCTATGGAATATGTTGGCCCCTTAACCTTGTCTCGTCATCGTGGACCATACTTCATACGTGACCATTTTCATCCAAGTCGTATCGCACTTCACAAGCAGTACTTATGTTCATTCTCGCGCAGTGGGTCAACACACTGTCGTTGCTATGGAATATGTTGGCCCCTTAACCTTGTCTCGTCATCGTGGACCATACTTCGTACATGACCATTTTCATCCAAGTCGTATCGCACTTCACAAGCAGTACTTATGTTCATTCTCACGCAGTGGGTCAACACACTGTCGTTGCTCTGGAATATGTTGGCTAGATTGACCTTGTCTTGTCATCGTGGACCATACTTCGTACGTGACCATTTTCATCCAAGTCGTATCGCCCTTTACAAGCAGTACTTATGTTCATTCTCGCACAGTCGCTCAACACTGTCGTTGCTCTGGAAGACTTTGGCCTCTTAACCTTGTCTTGTCATCGTGGACCATGCTTCGTACGTGACCATTTTCATCCAAGTCGTATCGCCCTTTACAAGCAGTACTTATGTTCATTCTCGCACAGTCGCTCAACACTGTCGTTGCTCTGGAAGATTTTGGCCTCTTAACCTTGTCTCGTCATCGTAGACCATCCTCTGTATGTGGTGAATGTGGACATCACCCGGCTACTACGGAAAGGCATAGCTTATTCCCACACATTCTAAATTGATACATAACTGACAAACATCGGAATGTCAAATTTGATGACATTCAAAAGTCGAAAGCACGAAGGAATTTTCTATGGTCGCATGGTCGAGTGAATATCTCGTAGTTAGGGAGATACCGGCTTTCACACTTACATGTCAGTTTGACCTGAGAGTGACGGAAAACCAGCTTTTCAAGTAGATTTATCAACATTTAATAGCGGACGCACATATACAGTCCCCGGCCGAGGTTAACATAGCATTGTTCCCTGAAAGATACGGACTTTTATTTTTAGCTTGAATACTATGAACCTTACCACTCATGTGGCGATTTTGATTCATGTAGATCAACCAGCAGCTTTTGTTCCACCTTCCCTTCGACTTTTAGGTTGAACGATAATGAGATCTTTTCCTGATCCTGAAGTTTTATAGTGAAATCATGTAAAACTCCTTTCCGATATAAGAGCAAATATGACGATGTGATGCTCGATCACAGAATTGTGCTAATTATTGTGATTATGTACTATATATTGTGATATATGACCTTCTACTTTCCTCACCAGTTCACTGATGCACAGTATTGGGCCGCTCACAGTTTCAATCTATTATCACCATGCCCTTTATATTCGCTACTATGCTGCACCTCAGGCAGCACTTCTCGGTGCCTATGAAGGGTCTAAGAGACCCGGTTTCTATGTTATGGGAAACTAGTCTCTGAGACCCACCCTCCCACCATCTAAATCGTCAGCTCGGTAGTTTTGCAGGTGCGTTTCAATAGCTTTGCTCCAAGTATGTGATCATATCATTCCCAAGTTCTTAGTACACTAATTGATATCCTGCGCATCATCTTGCACCCCTCTCGTACATCCATTGCATCCTCTGATGCACCCTCTGTCACATTCTTTTGCACCCTCTTGCACCTCTGTCGCACCCTCTTGCACCTCTGTCTCATCCTCTTGCACCTCTGTCGCACCCTCTTGCACCTCCATCTCATCCTCTTGCACCTCTATCTCATCCTCTTGCACCTCCATCCCATCCTCTCGCAATCTTCTTGCACCTCCACAGGCTCCACCCCATCCTCTTGCGACCCTCTCGCAGCTCTGTTCTATCCTGTCGCACCTCCGTCCCATACTTTCGCACCCAAGAGAATGCAGACTGGCGACGACGCTCTTGACATCACGGAAGCTGCGCTATAACTCGGTGAGTCAAACATCTGATGTTTTCGAAAATATTCAATAGGTCTTACAATCACTCCAAGTTCTCCATCGCGCGGATTGTATCCCGAGCTCAGTGGACCACGAGCAAAACGAGGCACAGTCGATCATACATTCACATTACTCGATGTCTTCCTTCCTGCCCATCTCATCCATCTCCTCTCCCTCGTTATCCTCCCCGCCTTCTTCCCTTTTCCTGCTCTCATCCGTCGTCCGTATTTGTCTAAGTCACGTCAGCAGTTGCTGATGTGCACTGGGCGTTTGCGGTGTTGGGAATTGCGTGGTGGAGCTCAAATATCGATTGCACAAAGACATGGTCCCGAGAGACTTCTACGACATCCCATCGTCTGCAAACTTATAATTTGGTCGGCAGCACTGTTATGTTCTCGCTTACCTGTATTGGGCCGTGGCTCAGGCCGAGCCGCTGCTGAGAGTAGTAGAAAGCAGGTGCGTGTCATGATCAAGATCAATCGCCTGTAGAATGTGAACTCGAGACGACATGGATCTCTTGATGGGAACTTCAAACCTGCCTCTGCATCCCAGCAGCTCATGAGTCATAACAAATCATCTCATCACGGTCCAACGCATCCCCATGTCTCATGACCAAAAGAACAGGTCCCAGCCGCTACAGGTGGTGGTAGCGGGATGACAGTGTCAGATGGCAGCAGGAGGCTGAGAGTGCAGGATTTGTGGTTGGCAGTGGCCTAGCTGAGAGTGTCATCGCAGGCAGTGAATGTCGACAAAAGTACAAGCAGTCACGCTAAAGTCCGAGTTCTTAAGCAGGCTAAGATCTGTCAAAGAAACATACCAGTATATCATATAGTAGCTTCAAAGATTTGGAAGCAAGTGTTAAAGATGTGTGCCATTGAAGGCTGTTAGCGACTCAGTGGAGAGGTGGTTGTGGTAGGTTGTCGAGTTCAATACTGTAATGGCGTTCAAAGTAAATTTCACAGAGCTTGCTAAGCTCGGTAAAGCTCGGTAAACTCGGTCAAAAATAAGATTTGTCACACTACGGCTTGGGCTGGCATTGATCGGAGTCCCAAAAGACATGCCTGCCCTATGACCACGACTTCGTCGCTCTGCGCGACTACAGATACAGTCTCAAATCATCTCCCCGCGACGTTGCAAGACCGGGCTGAAATTTATGGAGCCACCACCAGCTCCTCCTGCACGGGGAAAGGGAAAACGCGGCAGAGGAGGTAAAGATAGAGCTACTACTTCTCCTACTATCTCTATCAGCTGGCAAGCGGTTCCCCAGCGGACCAATAGGCTGGTTGACTACCTCGTTGGACACCCACCAGATTGCCACATTCTGTTCGCCAGTGAAAAGAAGAATCCAGCCAACCGTGAAGCTGAGGGCTGCCCCTCAGGCAAAGACAAAAACGAAATCCATGCTGTCATTGCAAGGGTTATTTTCTCCGATGATCCTCAATACGCGGTGCTCTATGCCTCGAATCCCAACAAATTTCGGGACTCTGTATATAATCACATCATGGCGTAAGTGATCCCCCCCTACTTTTATAATCATCAATGCTGATCGCTGATCACAGCCTCCGCACTAAATTTCGTGACATTCGTGCTGAATTTGAGTCCACGGGTGCAGGCATCGTGCCCATCGATTCAGAGACAAGCGTGAATTTGCATTGTGAGTCTTCTCCTCCCTACATGAATTTTTCTAATTAAATTTGTAGGTAAATACGAGAAGGACTTTCCCTGGTATGATCAGCTCTACTCCATCTGGGGCTCCCATCCATCATTCTCCGCCAAAACATCATCGTCAAAGCTGGGCGTTGATCACGCGAGTGATCTCTTTTCTCTCACTCGTCCTTTGGGTGGCTCTCTTCATCCCCCCGCTTCCTCCAGCACTGATCCCGGTGTAGAGACTCGCGTGTCTCAATGCCGAATATACAGCCTTTACCCATACATTCCTATATGTTACAGCTCTACTCCTAAGTACCAGTCTCGTGCGCACTCGCGCACGCCTTATCCGAACTCGCGCGCACTTAGGCGCGCCTTACCTACGCACGCGCTATATGCGCGTTCGCGCGCCTCCTCATAGGTCTTCGCGCTATCGTCCGTCCATCTGTCCCATGTCCTTACTGATTCGCTGGTGCGTTATTTCTATCTTATCCATTAAACTAATAAAATCTTCGGTCCGACGTCCACGCTACTTATAGAAAGTTTATTTAAACTTAGTTATAATTAGAGTTGATATGGTTACTTGGTTCGGGAGCGCGCTCGGAAGCGCGCCATCTCCATTCTTAAATACAGAAGGGTTTCCTTTGGTTCTGGTACTTACTTTCCCCTTATCTTTGTGTACTGGAAAGTGTATAGATCACCTCCTCACTTGTTATAAGATCTTATTCTCCTGTCAATCATCCATCTGGGCATTCACTCCTCAATAGGACCTTTCCCTTAATGCTCAAGGCGCGCCTTCGCTTCACGCGTGCGCATTCTCGAACCTCCCGCTCACGCGTGCATCTCGCGCGCCTTTGCCTCGCGTATGCGTGCCTTCACGTGCATTATCTTCTCGCGCCTGTTAGCGCCCGCCTAGCTCATAGAGTTTCCCTCCACTTTATTTCGAGGAACTTCTCTCAGTGGTTGTCCCTTGGGTCGACTCGTTGTCTCGTATCCCGGTCTTGCTGTTGAGCACCCTTTTGTTTTAAGTGTTTTCACGTCTAATCAAGATTCCTCATCTACAACTGGAGCCCACCGCGAGGGACACTTCTGAGATAGAAGGTCGGCGCCTCAGACCAAACAGTCGCCGCATAGCCAGAGAAGAAGCCATCGCCGCATTCGACAGAGCGGTAGAATCCATTATACCAGGACCCTTATTCATTCAACACACGCGCGGTCGCTCGTGCAATATATCAGAACCTCCGCGACCAGATCCAGCGCTCTTCGCGCGCGCGCGCCTAGACAACTGATATCGCCAGTCACGCCCTCACCTGAAGAATCTGTCAAGGAAGAGTTGTCAGACAGCTTCGAAGCAATAGATAACCCAAGGAGCCAACTTCCCGGAGCATTCCTCCACACGCCCAATCAACCTCCTTTTAATACTTCTAATCTGTCAGCGCTAAGCGCGCTAACCGAGCTTGACGACTCTAGCGACACTCCACTTAACGCGCCAGTAGTCCCCGCGCGCGAGAACGCGCTTCCTACAACGGGAATACCTAAGATCAAGCAAGAAGCCTTAGAAACACCGCGCGTGCCATTTTCAATTCCAGGCGGTACCGTTATATCAAACCTTCCTTTCGCGTATGTGCGCCAAGCACCTGTCAGTCACAAGATCCCCACGCCTGCAATTTCCCAACCGCCCGTCATGTCCACAGTAAGAACCAGAATGCCTGTCCGTGGAACAACAGACACGCCTAAATTTGATGGCACAACCGACAACCTCGCCGACTTTATCGACCTATACGAGCAGCTCGCTGACGACGTAGGTCTACAAGGTCTCGATCGCATTAAGGGTATCATCCGCTACCTTGAGCGCGATGACCGAGAATTATGGGGCGGAATGCCGGAGGCGCAAGTAAGCGATTACAACACGTTCATGAAAGAAGTCAAGGTAATGTGTCCTGGATGGGATGGCAAAAGGCACTTTCGGATCTACAAGCCATCGCGCGCGAATATGCGAACAAGACGATGCCCTCGTACCAGGAGTTAAGCAACTACCTTTGTCCATTCAAGAAGGTCATGCAACTGCTATTGGCAGAAGATCGCATTGGTAAAGCCGAGCGCGATCGCATATTCATGGAAGGGATTCCCAAGGATACTCAGGCGCTAATACGCACACGCCTCATGATCAAATTTCCTGATCACTACCCGCAGGATCCATACCCGTTCATGGACGTCTTTACAGCTGGACATTTCGTTCTGCCTGCGAATGCGCCTGCAGCTAGCGCGACGCCTAGCGCGCCTACGGCAACATCATTCACTAACTTAGTCACAGCTACCACATCAGCGCAATCACCCGCAAGGTACAGTAACCAAGCGCAAATATAAGCGCGAAGTGCCAATGTTCAATGACTGCGCCTTTTGCGGCAGTCTCGAACATTACTACCCTCGTTGCGCGGAGAAACAAAGGTATATTGACACGGATAAATGTAAGGTTAGCGAAGAGACGCACAAGCTTGTCTTGCCAAATGGCGACTGGATTCCAGGCCGAGGATTACTCAAGGAACGACTAGATTGACATCACGCAAGTCGCGCGACACCGGATACGACCACCAGTACAGGCACGACAGCGGGACTATTCTATCGCGCGTCCGACGAGATCGACGTGGTAATTGAAGTAGGCTCATCTGCGTTCGTGCACACAGTCGCGCAAACGGAACTTGATGAGGACGACGAGACGGTGGATCTCATGACTGAAGCGATAGCCTATGTAGCTGCAAGGCGCGACCAGAAGTGCAATGCCAAAGGTAAAAATGTGCGCTTCGACGGTGTAGAAATACCCAGCGAAACGCGCACGCGCCTGAGACCTGCATCTAAGCAAGCCACAGTAGAGGAGGAGATAATCTCTCCCGAAATACAAGCTTCGTCTGACAAAGGTAAAGGAAAGGAGGTAGCGAAAGTAGCGCCGTTAAGCGCGCCAATAAGCACGCCAACAAGCGCCAAGGCGCCTCCTAAGGGCGCCTCACCCTCATCGTCAACACCATCATTGTCCACGCCAGTATCATCATCATCGTCATCCCCATCCCAATCTTCAGCATTGCCACCATCGTTGTCATCAACACCAACCCAAGCACCAGCACAGTCACCATCATATCGTTATGCATTCGCGCTCGAAGACAAGGAGGCCGACAAACGCGTTGTCGAGCGCCTCCTCAATTCCAATCTCAATATCCCAGTAAGGGAATTATTAGCTGTATATCCCGATGTTCGCCAACACTTCCGCGAACTTACGACCAAGAAGCGCGTCACAGTAGGCGCAGTATCGGTGCACGAATTATCAGGGCATCCCGCGACCGACCAATGGCTACAGCAATACGAGGATGTGCGCATGCGAAGCGACGACGGTAAAATTGTTGCGGATCACTTCGTGCCCCTGCGCTGTATTCGCGCTAAGACATTGAAAGGGCGCACTCTCACCTGCGTCTTAGATTAAGGCGCGGAAGTAGTAGTCATGCCAAGGGAAGTATGGAAAGAGCTCGGCATACCGCTCAGGTCGGACCATAGCCTCAATATGGAATCAGTGAACACGTCACGCGACGCGACACTAGGAGTCATAGAGAACGTCCCGCTTGATTTTGGCGCAGGACCCTTATACTTCCAAGTCCAGGTCATTGAGCGCGCGACCTTTGAAGTTTTACTAGGGCGCCCATTCTTTAAGCTTACCTCGTGTCGCACATTTGATCTGCCCGACGGAGAGCAGGATCTCATACTGACTGATCCTAACGCGCGCAAAGAATTGCGCATTCCAACCCTACCTTGGGTCAAGCGACAGCTCGCAAGAGACGCGAAGTGCGCGAGTCACGCGCACTCGCACGTGCTCAAGGAGGAGGAACAGGGTTTTTAAGTATTGATGATCTGCAGCATTCGTGGGGAGAAGCCCATAAGCATTCGTGGGGAGAAGCCCATAAGCATTCGTCTTCCCAAGTATTTTCCTTATCGCATCAAGTTTCGCATTCTCGCATCACGCCTAACACGCCGCGCATAGCGCGCACGGATAGCGCGTCCCATTCTTCGCTCTTAAGGAGCAACAACGCATCACCTTTAGTCTCTACGCATCAATTTCCTTCATCTTCTATCCCGCAGTATTCAGCGCATTATGCGCATCTAACATCCACGCAGACCGTTATAGATAAGGTGACTATCGACACCTTTAATTCCTTTTATTATTATGATCCCGTACTTCACGTGCTGGTCTATAAACCAGTCGCGAAGAAAGTACGCACGGTACCTACCACTATGCCCGCAGAGTATAGGGTAGTGCGCCAATTGCCAGATGATCCGTTAGCAGGATTACCCGACTTACCCACCCATCCCCCAGAGTTCGCGCCAGGCACGCGCAGATAAACTAGACCTTGACCCAGCAAATTGGCTATGGCCAGAAGAGCTCAAGTTAGTGCGCTGGCTCGTGCGCGTACACGAACTCGCATTCGCATGGGACGCCTCAGAGGGCGGGCACCTCAACGAGACCTACTTCCCGCCATACAAGATTCCTACGGTTCCGCACACGCCATGGTCTCAGCGCAATATTCCGATCCCGCCAGCCACCTTAGATGAAGTAGTGTGCATCATCAAGGAGAAGATCTCATCGGGAGTATATGAACCATCAATGGCCGCGTATCGCTCGCGCTGGTTTTGCGTAGTAAAGAAAGATGGAAAATCCTTGCGCCTAGTTCACGACTTGCAGCCGCTCAATGCAGTAACAATTCGCAATGCGTCACTTCCGCCTTTTGTTGAACTTCTTGCAGAAGTGTTCGCTGGATACGCGGTGTACGCAATATTGGACTTATATTCAGGTTATGACCAGCGCGCGCTTCACGTAGACTCGCGCGACTTGACGACCTTTGGAACACCTTTGGGTCCTCATCGGCTAACCACTCTTCCTCAAGGACATGCTAATGCTGTACAGGTTTACCAAGGCGATACCGCGTTTATCCTGCAACACGAGATTCCAGAATTCATGTCGCCATTCGTG